TCGGTCAATGATCAGAGCGACCCAAGAGCGAGGGAAGCGCTCAGGAAGGCTAAGAGATCGAGAGGTTGAGGTTGATGAGGTTTAATGTCGGAGTTGGTCGAGTGACGTGTCTGTGTTTCGGCGATGGTTGAAGTCTTGCCCTTTATGACCTCGAAGGAGTCTTGGTGTTTGTCCGGTCCGCATCCTGGTAAAAAAACAGTCGATAAAAATAGCTTTAAACATAATTGTTATCCACCGAACAAAAACGTCTCACTGGGCTATTCCGTGAATATTACTGCTGTTGTGTATGATTTCCAGCCTGCAATATTTCGCCTAGTTAAATGACTTCATTCGCTTCATTGCATCACCCGACTTGCTCTTTTCCCTATGTGGACCCAGCACCATGGCCCCATGCTCTATCACTACATACAAACATAAGCTGCGCCCTAATGAACCCTGAGAATACCTCATCAATCATCACGATCGCTGACGTACCTGCCGTCCATCTGCAGCGCAGCAAAGCATATCCCTATGATCACGAACGGCCAAGCCGAATAAACCATCAAAAGAGAAATCGTCCGAGTCCGAACCGGACTAAACCGAGACGGGAGGGACGGACGGGGACACCACGGCTCGCTCAGTCGTGGGCACAGCCTCACGATATCACATTACAAGATGCTCATCGGCAAAATGCTCAAACTGAGGCAGCAACTCAACAAACTCTCCAAACCCATCTTCGTCTACCTTGCCGCCCTCCAAGACGTGCCCGTCAACCCCATCAACATCACTACCACCCTCGCGACCGCCGCGACTACGACGACTTCGTATTATGTTGCGAGCACTTCTACTGAGAGTCCGACGGCGGTTGTCAGATCCAGTTTGATCATCAAAGAGTCGTACCGCCGCCCACGCCGTTTCCTTATGCGTACTCGTTGTCGTCATACCCGTCTGAGTCCGGGCCGGAACTGGGATCGGTTATCTGGTGGGGTGGAAGCGGGATGGAAGAGGCGGAGGAGAGCGTGTTGGGGATCATCATCAGGGGTTTGGGTCTGTGGGTTTAGGATTCCACTTCCTCTTTGCCTCTTATCTCACGGGGGAGTGGAATAAACGAGCGTGAAGAGCACTTTCTCCAGGTCTTCGATCACCTGTCGGCTAAGGTTGTGCTTGATCCGCTCCGGTTCCATGATGGTGGCGAACATCTCACGGCAGGTCGAGCGGACGATGAGCTCGAGGCGCTCAGGGGGCTTGAATTGAGAGTTCAGGGTGGGATCGGCGTTTCTGAGAGTAACGTCCGCGACTATGGCCATAGACAGAAGGTCGGTCGACTTGGCTAGGTCTTCAATTTGCTGGATTCCTGTGTTTTGGAGGAGAGTTTGTTAGCTTGTGTTTGTGGGAGGTGTGATGGTCTGGGGTTTCTGGCGTTATGCGGTAGGAAGCGTCACGGTTTTGCTTGAGGTTTGTGCTGCGTATCTTGGGTCGGGATGGATGGTGGGCCAGGGTATTTCAACAAGGAGCGTGCATTCAAGGTTTGCATTGGCGACAATGGGCATCTGAGCCATGGGGATTGGGCTTCAGGTACTTGGGTAGAATCCACGTACCACAATTCATGATAGTTCCGGCACCTGTTGAAAATCGAGACGCCTTGTTAGCAGAAAGACGGAGGAGTATGCTAGTTAAATGAAACGCTTCGTACTTTGAGTAAACGGCGTGAAATCGGTCCAACCGTTCAGAGGCGCCTGTTGTCGAAATTTGGTGTCGATCTTGAAGGCTGTGTACATTAGGGGGTTCAGTCTATCTGGTTTGATCAGATCCTTAGCTGCTGTACTATTAGCAAATGCGTACGCTTGAAGTGTGACAGACATGCCGTTACCTACCGTGTACGATGGCTCTTTCAGGCATCCCAGGCCAGTCCATCTGCGGACTGAGCAAGTCGATGCCTTCGTGATTCATGACCATATCCCTCTCTGATTGTATGTACAACCACAATCTGTGGCTGGGCAAGCGAAGGTATTCGCTGACAAGTAACTCCCGATTGCGTTGGCGAATCCCTTCGTCTATTCCGTTGGACCATGAGTCAATCTTTATCCTCAAGATTTTCATCCTTACGACTTGATCAATGTCCTTCTCTATGGTATCATAGGACCCGCCTAAATCAGGGACATCATCAGCGACTTTCTAAAGTTCTTGCAGCTTGGTGCCATACCTAGCAGTTCGTAGTCGTCCAGAAAGGAGGCGTCAGCTTCCGATAAGCCCCGTGTCAGTGCATGTAGTTCCTTGATTGACTTGAAGAAAGCCTCGTCATCCGGCTTTCTCTCATCATTCACCAATGCCTTTTTGTATTCGCGATGTCGTTCCAGGTGCCGAAGCCGAATCTTCTCATGATCCTGGACTGTTGGTGGAAGGGTAGGCATTACCCATAATGCAGCCTTCTCCGAGCCCAGAGAACGTGACACTGCTTCCAGCTTCTTGAGTCTCTTGAGACGATCCTCCTTATCTTCCCCCGTGAATATCTTCCCAATCTCAAGAGGAGGAGCAGTCAAATACCACTCCAGTGTCCTTGCGAATGCCTGCTTAGAATTGTAAACAAGACTGGTGCAGCGTAGACAATTGTCGAGAAAGATTGAGTTGATGATGTTGACATGTTGGCTTTCGATCGGGAAGAAGGGAAAGCGGAACTTATCATCCTTTCCTCTCCGTCCATCATAGCCCTCTTGAAAGACCAGGCGGCCATTCACAATCTCGCTGTAACTGTTTTCTGCCTTGCGTACAGGCAGATCAGCCAACATGCCGTTGACATGGCCATAAGGATCCATCACCAAAGACCTTTGGAAATCCCTTTCCTCTTTGACCTCGGGAGATTGGTCTTCAAGTGGGTTAGGTAAAATCAAAGAGCGAAGAACTACCATGATCTTTGGAGATATCGGCGCAAAGGTATGGAGCTCCACGTAGCCAAGGGCTTCTTCCTTGTCCGATTTGATGTCTCGGGCATATTTGTTCGGCCCTTCATGCACCGAATAGCTATTGTCTGCGAGGATGAACTCGTTCTCCGCTTCGGATGGTACGCACAGAGCCATGTAAGAACTCTGCACATGCGTAACAAACCACATAGCATCGTTGTAGTACATCTTCTTTGGAAGCTCACGTATCCAGTTCAGCTCCGGGTCCATCTCAAGGTTGATGAGTGTTTCGATATTGTGCAACCAGACCTGCATAGGGGTTTTGAATTGCGGATGTTCTTCCATGTACTCGCGAAGAAGTTCCCGGTCGTTCTCGGAATATGCCTCGGGTCTTTCGTGGAAGAAGCGGGTATGAAACCGATGGCCGCGGTACTTCATGAGGAAGAGAAACTTGCGAATCAAGTTTCGCTCGTCCCGGGTGAGAACAACTCCACCCTCTTTCGCTTCATATGCCTTTGTGATCTTGGTGAAGATGTGTGCTGCCTGGGCCTCCAGTTTGGAGAGCAACTTCTCGACCTGTCTTTGCTCCCCGTTGGGCTTCGTGAAGTCGTCGTACATGTTGATCTGCCCCAAAATCCTGGAAACGGGCTTCTCGGTGAAGGCGGCAGCGTCCTGGGTTAAGTCGAGGTTGCTGATTACCAGGTCTCCTGGAAACATGCCCTTCCCATACTTGGGCTTCGGAGTTCCTTTGGGTCCTTTGGGCACTTTGGGGACCCTGTGGGCAAAGTTCTTGAGAAGGAACTGGGGGACAAAGTGTTGGTACTGTCCATTCGATGCGGCGGGTGCCATGACGTTAGGCTTGGGGTGTGACATGGTGTGATGAGAGGTGTTGTTATTCTCGAAAGCAACGTCGAGGTGGGAGGAGCTTTGACTTGGGAAGAAAGGTGTAGCGAATGTGTGTCGTTACCGATTTCTTTTGTGAAAAGCCAGGTCGTCCATGGGGATATATATAACGAGCTCAGCCACGGCCGTCCTCGATAGAATCGTGGGAGTGACATTCCAAAACACCAGAGACCCATTCATGAGGCCGTGAGGCCTACAGCAGCGGGGTTGGTTTTGTAGGCCCCTCATCTTGTAGGCCCCCAAAAGAAGAAAGACTGCGCTTTGGCAGCTTGAAAATCGTCCTACCAGTCAATTCGTTCGCATTTACAAACGCCACGCGAATTGGGCTCAGCTGCTTGAGTTGGTGATTTGTATGCCTCCATTGCGTGCAATCAAAGGGTCTGGCCGCAGGAGACGTCGCCGTCAAGCACCACCAACGTGGGAGGATTTTCGGACTGAACGAGTCGTCACTTGACAGGCCGTAAGCGGGCTAGCTTTGTAGACCTCTAAGGGGAAGAGTGGGGGAGATGACATGATGATTCTTCGCACGCAGACGTATCAAATTGCGCCGTCTGTCGCAGTCCTGTCGAAGTATCAGAGAATGGAGGAGGTTGTGTTGAAATTTGCGATGCAGAAGGTGGGAAATGGAGAGGAAGGAGGGGAAGAGCGGGTGACATTTTCGCACCTCAATGGCATAAATTGCCTTATGAACACTAATTCCCCACAAATTTCAACAACAACAAATCAGTTGGTAGAGCGTTCGTAGCTCGCATAGCGAGGAAGACTTGCTTGAGTCTGTTGTACGACACCCATGCGTCGCCTGCGCCCCCTGAGGCGTTACCCCACGCTGTCGGCACTAGCCACGTAGATGGCGCTGGAGCCGTCGACTAAACGTCTGTGTGGAAACCCATACCTGTATCTTACAGGCGCCAGCCCTGTAAGACTTCACCAAAGCATTTTTTGTGTGGTATGGACAACTACCTTATGTCTTACTGTTGGGGCGATCGCCGCTTGGTGTCGGTTCCATGAACCCACAGGTCCCAAAGGAAATGAAAAGTAGGGCATCAACGCATTGTCTGCTCAAGGACACTGGTTATCACAACGGCTTGGTTGTTGACAGCACTGGCAGCCTAGGCTCTACTGGAATTTGCAGGTTCCACTTGGATTTACAGCCCTACCCGCGCCACGGCCCCATAAGTGGTGCAAGCTACCAGGCCGCTACTGGTACACTAATGCTAACCTTGTAGACCCCGTGACAGAAAGCCACGACCCTCGCCCAAGTCGAGTTATTGATTAACGCCCTGAAGTCTCTAGGTCCAGAATGCCCAGCCTCTAGAAAAGAAATGTCCTTTGGGCCATTGGCATATAGTGGGGAGGGAGCCGCCAGCCATCTTACGCTTGACATGGTGAAACAGAAACAGACTCAACACGACGCCTCATGCTCCACCATAGCCTTGAGAAAACATAGTGCTCTAGTTTCTTTTTATTTTGTCCTTGGAGGCAGGATAGAGGAATCTCCAGCATTTTTACAAACTCAATCCATTGATCGTCAACGGTATAGCATTTGCTGCCTCCAGGACAACACGATCAACACGATCATCCTCGAGTGCCTNATCACCGGGCGTGTGGCTCAGTTGGCAGAGCGTTCGTAGCTCGTATAGCGAGGAAGACTTGCTTGAGTCTGTTGTACGACACCCATGCGTCGCCT